TGAACGTTCTAGCCTTCATTAGCTTAAATCTGACAGTGTGGAAAATCCTGGCATTAACAAAAAAACGTATTGGTCATTTCCTTAACAAACAAAATCGCTTGACCCAATAGCATAGCATGGTTCACAGACCATTTGGTAAGAGCAACATGTTTTCACTTTTTTTAAATTTGTCATTTTGTACATTGAAAAAGCAACAAATACCAAAAATACATGTCAAAATCTCTGAAGAAAATTTAGTAAGTAAAAAAAACCTTGCTTGACGATCAGGAATGTTCACAATACCCGTTTCTTACAAAGCACAATGAATTCTGGGTGAAATATCATACCAGATTTTGACAGACAATATCAATGAGAAATAATGACAAAACAAAAAAAATGTTTGTTTTAGTGAAAACTAACTTCAGGCTACATTGGGTGACAGAAATGAAAGTTAAGTTTGAAAAACATTCTTGGGGTCTCTGCTGTTCTACATGGAAACCTTACTGTATTAAGGTTATTTTATGGTGAAAAAACATTTTTGTCGGTATTTGCAAGAGAACATTTTGATAATAGCTGTATTTTATCCCTTAGATTATTCTTGTTACTTTGTGGGAGGAATCGCCTTTAATGATATAACTTGTGAACAAATCAAAAGCATGCAATAAGCCTCATATCAGATGCAAGATATAATATTTAAAGTGATGTATGTACATTTTATCGAAATTGTACATGTGAAAACTACAAGTTCCTATTCATCAGTGGTAAATCGGTCAACTTGTAGATTAAATGCAATCATTTTAATTTAAATATCACAATGATACGTATAAAAATTACAACCATGCACATATCTGTAATCATCACATATTAGTAGAGTTTCAATGTTCTGGCTGAATCTCCCACATGCAATGAATAATTGTTATGGTGTAGTCTTGATAAAACAACAATAAATTATCTGCCCCAAGGTAATCATAGCAAGGTGATCTACCTACAGTAAAGCATGTAAATACATTCAAAACAGCCATACTAAAGTACATGACCACCACAGATGTTCTCTTGGAAAAGTAATCATTCTACCACAACATACTTCTGGGCTCGTTAGTTTAAATACCGCGATTCGTCTAAAACGAAGATATTTCCGAAATAGGATCATGATTAAATAATGCCCATTTTATTTCCGATATCGATCGATATCTTATTATCCATTGAGAGTAATGTCAGGTTGAATGAATGTAGTAAAAGGCCACTGTTACCAGATCTGCACACATTGACTATTATATGTAATATTGATGTGATTTTAAGCTTTCTAACAACAACATAACACATTTTTCGGTTTACTACACGAAGAAACGTTTTTAATGTGTTGGTACTCATTCATGCATATTAATTAACGATCTATGCTTCACTTTTTTATTCCCTCTCAACAAAAGGCCGGACATCCGGGCATTTTCTGTGGTTTACCATTTCGAATGCCCACATTTTCTGATTTCTACAGTTACATAAAAATACAACGACTATTCAGTGGCATCACAAACCAGCCTTCCAACACAGAAGAAGCACCCACGAACATTCCCATGTTTGAGAATGTAAGATAGGGTAGACTGAACGTAGTAAAAGACTCCTGTTATCAGATCTTTACATATTCACTATATGTAATATTGAAGTGGTTTTTAAGCTTTATTGGTTATTAAGGTAGAGATGCAGTTTATCCTGCAAATGTTGACAAATTTTACTTTTTTTTATTTTTTATGGCATTGTATGAACATCTGTAAATTAAAATCATTAGTGGAACTCTGTTAAATCCAATGGCGATGCAAATCAGCATATATTTTTTACTTAACTATAAAATATGAAAATTAACAACTATCTCAGCTTCTTTTAGTGCACATCCCAGAACTTTGAAAATTAAATAGCTCCTAGACACTTTGAACTTTTCTTTTGAAATTTTCACAAATGATTGACAATGTGTTTATTTTCAAAACGCCGCTGGGGCATTGTTTTTGGTTGAGCACTATTACAACAATCGCACAGACAACTAGCCTAGGTGTTAATTTATGCATAAACTTGAATTAGTGAAATTTGAGCTGCTGTCCAGCAAAATTGACAACTGGTAGACTGTTTTCAAGACGGCACTTTCTTCATAGTAAACAGATTTTGACAGGAAACAGAGGCATGGTTTAGAAGCTATTTTTTAAATCACTTTTGACCAAAACAAACACATTTTTGTGCATATTTCAAACTACAGTGTCTATAAAAAAAAGTACTTAACAAATTTTAAAATTCATACAATAAGTTTTCCGAAAATATATAGTTTTGTGGATGAGGGAGGTCATCTTGGTTTCCTAATTAACTAATTAAAATACCTGTCAAGTAAACTGCATCTCTACCTTAAACAGACAATATTGAAAGTAAAGCAATCAAGACAACACGCCTAAACATGGGCCACTACAGAGAATGCAGGCATTTTTGGGTTACTACACAAAGAGACATATTGAATGTGTTGGTACTCATTCATGCATATTAATTAACGATATATGCTCTACTTTGTTCCCTCTTTACAAAAGGTCAAGCATCCGGGCATTTTCTGTGGTTTATCATTTCGAATGCCCACAGTTTCGGATTTCTACTGGTACATAAAAATACAAGGATTATTTAGTGGCGTCACAGACCAGCCTTCCAATACAGAGGAAGCACTCACAAACATTTCCAAAATTTGGCCGAAAAATGTTGGGATCCGCCACAGATGATCAATGTTTTTGAAATCGACAAAAATTCCCACGTGTGTTCTCGGTGAAAATTAACGAGATTATTAAATAGCTGCCATTGAAGAAACCAAGTGATCTAAATGGTTTATCTACTGAACACTCTAAATGTGTTGCCTCTACTGTTAATACACATGTATGCCGCCGGAATTACCCTTTGACCTGTGATGAAAGTTGGTTTAGCGCTACTATTAACAAAAATAGGAATATTACCAGCAAGTCAAATTACTGTCATGTTGCTATAACGTCTGTATCCCTCCAAAGGTGGGACACGTTTTCTGGAATTACAAACAGCCAGTTTGGTTGTTAAAAGTACCATTCCTTCGATCGCTGCATTCTAATTCTAAAATAAACCATCCAGCAGTACATTAGTCTGGACATCGGTATATTTATATGCTTTTTTGAGTGTTTTGAGAGAGTGAAACATCAGACATTGTTTGATAAGTGTAGTTAGCTCCAGTGTATTCCATATGTTTTCTTAAAAATTGTACTGAGTTTCATTTGGGAACTACCAATCCACAGCTGTTTAATGTATCTAGTGGGCCATAGCAGGAATGAGTAACATCGCCAACACTGTTGAATGTGTGCATGGATGGTAACAGTGTAAATACTTAATAGCATGCCACTTGTTTGTCTTATTATAATTTATTTTATAAATTATAATATTTTGAATGATATGATTGTATTTGTGCCTTTTATTTGAGGTTTTTGCAAACTTTTACGTACATGTGAGATATACACACAGATGAATATGACATTTTATATTACTCACAGAAATCTGAATCCTTTCACTTCAATGTTCTCGATTGTATGAACAATTTGCATACCATTGTATTCACGTAATAATAATAATGTTGACTCTGGATTTCAGGTTAGTGAATTAATATTTCTGTATTAATTTGTATTGCTGAAAGCCAACAGTACTTGCTTCATAAGGTATTAGGGGTGGACTACGTTAGAGACTTAGCATATTAGCATATTATTAGCATATATATTCATACTTGAGGTCGTAATATTAATGTGGTTTTTAATCTTTCTTACAATAACATAACAGGCCTAAACACGGGTCACTACACTGAATAGTAGTTGGTTTACTACATGAAGAAACATTTGTAATGTGTTGGTACTCATTCATGCGATCTATGCTCCACTATTTTATTCCCTGTTAACAAAAGGTCAGGCATCCGGGCATTTTCTGTGATTTACCTTTATACATTCGGGTATTTTCTATTGTTTACCATTTCGAATACCACGATTTTTTTTTATTTCTACTGGTACAGATGATAAAAACAAAAACAAAAATACAGCGATTATATAGTGGCACCACAAACTAGTCTTTCATATCGCAATCTACTGGTCAAAGACAGAAGAAGTGCTCTCTAGGTGCAAATTTATCTGTGAGTTAGATGTTTTATACGTGCTTGTGTAATGTTTACCATTTTGACAGTCATTTGTTTTGGATTGTTTGGACTTTTCCTATGTGACTTGTGTTATACATTTTTGGTCCAGTATTTTGTTTTC